ATTCCACCATTGCCCTAACTTGCTACCAGCTTTCAACTTGGTTTTGCCTGGTTCCAGGTTGGTAAGGAACAGATCCTTCCTGCCACTACTACCCTTAGTGTCCAGGATCCAGTAGTTTCCAGCAAGCATGAGAAACATTGGCCCCGAACGTCAAGTTTACTGTGGATAAACCTGATGGGGATGGGTGCTCTCAGAAAACTTTCAAGCTGAGATGACCATTATGGGTGCTAGACAAATAGGGATAATATATTGCCCCTATATTCTCATTCATTCATCAGGGATGCATAATACTAATAAAAGTGCATCATTGCATTTCTAGGACCAGATTTACTTATAGTAATTGTTTTCTTTCCATGTTAAATTTTATTGGTTAATATTAATTTAGAAATTTTACATCTTTAATTATAAGTAGGATTGCTGTATAACTTCTTAAATTATCAGTGACTGACTTTATTATGAATCTCATTTCCCCTTCATGGGATAAATTAACTAAGTTTCTATATGTTTATAGTTTAGAATATTTTAGGAAAATTATCTGTTCTGTTGCCTGTGAAGCTATATAAGCAAAAGCATGTTTTCTATTTTCTATTTCAAATTTATGAATTTTACTTTTCAGGAATTCATCCATTTTGTCAGAATTTTTGCATTTATCAACATAAACTTATGCATGATACACTCTTTTAGTCTTCTCTAAGTTAAATATTTAGCTCCATTTTCTTATTTGCTGTGCATTGTGTCTAGATTTATTTGGAAGATATCTACTATTTTATTTTAAATTCAAATAACATTTCTTTAAACCATTTTACTGAGGTTCTATTTCTATTTCCTAAATTGTTTATTTGCATTTGAATCTTATTTTCTTTAATATTTCCTTTCAATTATTTTCCAAAAGACAATTTTAGATATTTTTTAGTTGAATGCTTCATTGATTTTCCTTGTCTATTTTGCTCTTAAAAAAATAAGCGTTTAATGTTATGAATTTACCTCTGGATGTATTCTGTAAGTTTTAATGTATATTGTTTTTGTTGCTTTCTAAATTGTTTTTGATTGCATTATTTCCGTTCTATCTGGTATAATAGTGTATTTTTAAAATTATCATGTGGATGGAATTGTAAAATTTAAACTTTCATTTATATTTAATTTTATTCTATCATTTGTCATAAAATGTGTCTTATTCAATTTTCTTTTTAAAAAGAATGAAATTGAAGTCTACTCTGTATGTGGCAAATCTTATAAACGCCCCATTAATTATTGAGAAAGATGTATTCTTTGTTAGCAGGCCACAACATTTATAAATTAATGATCATACTTACATTTATTAGTCATATTGTTGTTGTTTGGTGCTGTTGAGTTGGTTCCCACTCATGGTGATCCTGTGTAAAACTAATGAAACCCTGCTTGGTCCTGCGCCCTCCTCACAATTGTTGCTATTCTTGAGCCCGTTGTTGCAGCCTCTATGTCAATCCATCTTGTTGAGGGTCTTCCTCTTTTTCACTGACCCTCTACTTTACAAGCATGATGTCCTTCTCCAGGGACTGGTCCCTCCTGATAACATGTACAAAGTATGTGAGATGATGTCTTGCCATCCTCATTTCTGAGGAGCATTCCGGCTGTACTTCCTCCAAGACAGATTTGTTCATTCTTCTGGCAGTCCATGGTATATTCAGTATTCTTCGCCAACACCATAATTCAAAGATATCAGTTTTTCTTCAGTCTTCCTTATTCATTGTCCAGCTTTCACATGCATATGAGGCAATCGAAAGTACCTTGGCTTGCGTCAGGCTCACGTTAGTCCTCAAGGTGACATCTTTGCTTTTTAACACTTTAAAGAGGTCTTTTAAAGCAGATTTGCCCAGTGCAATATGTCATTTGATTTCCTGACTGCTGCTTCCATGGACATGGATTGTGACTCCAAATAAAATGAAATCCTTGACAACTTCAATCTTCTCTCCCTTTGTCATGATGTTGCCTATTGGTCCAGTTGTGAGGATTTTTGTTTTCTTTATGTTGAGGTGTAATCCGTACCGAAGGCTGTAGTCTTTGATCTTCATCAGTAAGTGCTTCACATCCTCCTCGCTTTTAGCAAGCAAGTTTATGTCATCTGCATATTGCAGATTGTTAGTGAGTCTCCAATCCTGATGCCATGTTCTTCACATAGTTCAGCTTCTTGGATTATTTGCTTAGCATACGGATTGAAAGGATAAAACCCTGATGCACACCTTTCCTGATTTTAAACCACTGGGGTATTCCCTTGTTCTGTTCAAATGACTGCCTCTTGGTCTATGTACAGCTTCCTCATGAGCACAGTTATGTGTTCTAGAATTCCCATTCTTCACAATGTTTATCCATAATTTGTTATGATTCACACAGTCAAATACCTTTGCAAAGTCAATAAAACACATGTAAACATCTTTCTGGTATTTTCTCCTTTGAGCCAAGATCCATCTGACGTTAGCAGTGATATCCTTTGTTCCATGTCCTCTTCTGAATCCACCTTGAATTTCTGGCAGTTCCCTGTCGATGTACTGCTGCATTCATTTTTTAATTATCTTCAGCAAAATTTTACTTGCGTGTGATATTAATGATATTGTTCAATAATTTCCACATTCTGTTGGATCACCTTTCTTTGGAAGTGTACAAATATGGATATCTTCCAGTTGATTGGCCAGGTAGCTGACTTCCAAATTTCTTGGCATAGATGAGTGAGTGCTTCCAGCATTGCATCCATTTGTTGAAACATCTCAGTTGGTATTCCATCAATTCCTGGAGCCTTGTCTTTTGCCAGTGTCTTCAGTGCAGCTTGGACTTCTTCCTTCAATACAATCGATTCTTGATCATATGCTACCTCCTGAAATGGTTGAATGTCGACCAAATCTTTTTGGTACAGTGACTCTGTGTATTCCTTCCATCTTCTTTTGATACTTCCTGCATCATTCAATATTTTGCCCATAGAATCCTTCAATATTGCAAATTGAGGCTTGAAATTTTTCTTCAGTTCTTTCAGCTTGAGAAATGCTGAGTGTGTTCTTCCCTTTTAGTTTTATAAATACAAGTTTTTGCACATTTCATTATAGTACTTTACTTTGTCTTCTTGACTCACCCTTTGAAATCTTCTGTTGAGCTCTTACACTTCTTCATTTCTTCCTTTTGCTGTAGCTACTCTACATTCAAGAGCAAGTTTCAGAGTCTCTTCTGGCATCTAGTTTGGTCTTTTCTTTCTTTCCTGTCTTTTTAATGATCTTTTGCTTTCTTCCTGTATGATGTCATTGATGTCATTCCACAACTAATCTGGGCTTTGGTCATTAGTGTTCAGTGTGTCAAATGTATTCTTGAGACGGTCTCTAAATTCAGGTGGGATGTACTCAAGGTTGTATTTTAGCTCTCATGGATTTGCTTTAATTTTCTTCAGCTTCAACTCAACTTGCATATGCGCAATTGATGGTCTGTTCCACAGTTGGCCTCTGGCTTTGTTCTGACTGATAGTATTGAGCTTCTCCATCGTCTCTTTCCAAAGATGTAGTCGATTTGATTCCTGTGTATTCCATCTGGCGAGGTCCAAGTGTATAGTTGCTGTTTATGTTGTTGAAAAAAGGTATTTGCAATGAATAAGTCTTTGGTCTTGCAAAATTCTATCAAGGGATTTCTGGCATTTTTTCTTTCACCAAGGCCTTATTTTCCAACTACTGATACTTTGTTTCCAACTTTCACATTCCAATCACTAGTAATTATCAGTGCATCTTGTTTGCATGTCTGATCAATTTCAGACTGCAGAAGTTGGTAAAAATCTTCAATTTTGGCCTTAGTGGTTGGTGGGTAAATTTGAAGAACAGTCATATTAACTGGTCTTCCTTATGGGCATATAGATATTATGCTACGACTGAAAGTGTTGTACTTCAGGATAGATCTTGAAATATTCTTTTTGATGATGAATATGACGCCATTCCTCTTCAATCTGTCATTCCCAGAATAGTAGATAATATGATTGTTCGATTCAGAATGGCCAATACCAGTCCATTTCAGTTCACTAATGCCTAGAATATCGATATTTATGTGTTCCATTTCATTTTTGATGACTTCCAATTTTCCTAGATTCATACTTCATACATTCCACTTTCCAATTATTAATGGATGCTTGTAGCTGTTTCTTCTCCTTTTGAGTCATGCCACATTAGCAAATGAAGGTTCTGAAAGCTTTACTCCACCCACGTCATTAAGGTCAATTTTACTTTTGGGAGGCAGCTCTTCTCCAGTCGAATTTGAGTGCCTTCCAACCTGAGGAACTACTCTTCTGGCACTATATCAGACTATGTAATGCTGCTATTCATAAAGTTTTTACTAGCCAATTTTTTTCAGAAGTAGACGGTCAGGTCCTTCTTCCTAGTCTGTCTTAGTCTGGAGGCACTGCTGAAACTTGATCTCCATGGGCGACCCTGCTGGTATTTGAAATATCAGTGGCATAGCTTCCAGCATAATCACAGCACACAAGCCATCACGGTAGGACAAACTGACAGACGAGTGGTGGTTATTAGTATAGTAGTCAGATATTTTATGTTCTTATTTGTTATGTGAATTTTTTTACCTTGTAGTTCATAATCTTTTGGTAGTATAATATTTCCCATAATAATTGTGTCTGTCAGTTTCTCTTTGAATGTCTAAAAAGTTTTGCTTGATTTTTTTGTTTATGAAAGTATTGTTATTTATATCATTGTTGTTATAACATGACTATTATTTTACTTTGCTGTTTGTCTCAAATTCTACTGTCTACTATAACTTTGACAATTTTGCTTTAATTTAAGCATGTTTACCTGATTTTGAAAAAGTGTGCCTTAATTTCTAAGTGTACTTTCTTTTGTGTTGCTTGCAAATTATTAGATTTGAGTTTTTAATTCAAACTGAGTCTGCCTAGTAGATAGCAAGTACTCAATGAATAAAATGAATATTTTAAGTGATATTTAACCTTACTAAGTACTTTTTCTCTTTTGTGTTTTACTTCGTTCTAGGTGGGCCATAAAACATGAAGGGACCAATAAACCAGGACAGTGGAAACATTCCAAAGTTGAAAATCCTTTATGGAACAAGCTGAACTATATGTGGCCAGTCCTTCCCAGCGGCCAACTTAATGAGGTTGTATTACTTAGAACAAGAGGTGGTTGTTGAGACTTAAGGCCCTGGCATTTGCCTCCTGTGCCCTTCTTCTTCAAGGCCATGGAGGTAGAAACACAAGTGGATTGGGGTTTGGCAAATTTCCTCAAGATAAAATCCGGCTTCAGCACTCTCTTCTTGGGGTCTCTAGTATGTCTTACTTTATTGCTAGATCAATGACACATTCTAAAAGATTTTAAAAAATAGATTTTATCCAGAGTTTCTTTAGTTGTTACCAGCAGAAGGCCAATCATGCTTCCTGGTCTCCACCAAATTTTTTATTTCTGCTTAAGTCATGATTACCTGTGCGTCCCCACTGATTGAATCAATGAATCTCAGTGCTTTAGGGGAAGGACAAATGGAATATGAAACCAAGAGCCTGAAAGATGCCTTATGTTTAGGCTGTACTGAAGCAACAGTCTAGAAAGCTTAGTTGTTTTGAGAGACAAAGAAGTTCTTCAAAATAGCAGAGGCTATGAGGTGGGCAGCCCTAGCTAGTAGCTGGATGAATTACGTGTCTAGGACTCAGGGTTTGCAGCAATATGGAGAACCAACATGGAGCCAAGGGTAGGGTGATGGAGTAAGAGAGGAGACAAGTAGGCTGAGTGTGAGCTAAGAAAAAAATTGTGAGTTACAATAATTGTAAATTTTTCTCCAGAAGTTCAGGAAAGAGACTGAAACACAGAGACCAGGCAGGATAACTTACACTTCAGCTGATGGTAAGCAGACATCAGCAGGTTGTCCAGTGGCAAAAGAGGAAAGAGGGACATTCTTAGAGGCCTACGAGAATCAAGGAGAGCATAAGTACCACAAATAGACCATAGGCCCCTTTTTCCAATGGTATACAGTTTATTTAACTTTCATCTACATCTGGGAACCATCTTGAGGAGAAGAAAGGGAAGGGGTACAGCTCTGAAAGGGAAGAACAGTTCTTGTAAGGTGTTTGAAACTTCAATTTGTTTGTATATGTATCCAAAATGACAGACCTTACCCCCTAAAATGCTGTTTAAATTGGCAGACAACTGTAATTGGAATATCAAGTTTCCCAACCTCCCTAATGGTATGGGGGTACACAGGTATGCCTTATAAAGAAATATACTTCAGTTATAGAGAAATAGAGAAAAAATATAATTATTGCAAGTTGCACAGATGTGGTGCTTACATGTTTTAACCTCAGTATATAAGTAAAAGTAATTCAGCTAACTAATTAACTGATTTAAATAACAAAGGATAAACTATTTAAGGAAATATAAGTTAACCAGGTTCTTTTTAATAGTTACCTTTAAAACATTAACATTTCTGCTGATTTTCTGAGATTTTTTGACAACTAAATGATCCTCAGAATGAATATGGACTACTCCTAAATTCTCTTTTCATTCAAACAAAACAGTAGCTTTTCGGTAGAGGGGGTAAGTCACTGTACCCCAACAAAACTCTGACCTTCACTTGTAGAGGGAAAGAACTGAGATGCTAACTTAGCTAAAGTCAGACAAGTTGACCATATATTTCAAAATGACTCAGCCTAAGAGTCCTATTATTGCTTGAAGTGTTTGAGGAAGAGAGGAAAATACCAAGCAGGAACTTAGATAGTTATCATTCAAATTAAATACAATCTACTTCACTGAAAGCCTGGATCCGTCTTATCTGAGGGAACCATGTTTTCGTCCAGTCTCATTATTACATAATTGATATTTAGCAAAAGAAGATTCTTTTATTTCAATGTATAATTATATACAATTAATATTTAGCTTGGAATGACTTTCCAAATAAACTGAGATTAGGATATATGATTTCATATTGTGGGATTCAGAATACTTCCGTCACTGTAAACGTACGTATTAATTTTATTCCAGATTTAATCTTCCAACTTTACTTATTTATCTAACCATAATTTATTATGTATTTAGGCAATGCAGACAGAGCAAGAAAGGAGATAGACATGGTCCTCATGGAGCTTAAAGTTTGTGAAATATAGGCTATGAGTCAAAAAGGAAGAAACCAGAAAGGAAGAAAGCAGAGCTGATGAATAATGGACAAAGAAGGGAGGAAGAAGAAACTCACAGAAAGTTTGATATTTTAGAAATCAAGGTTATTTGTTGAACCAGTTCATTCAGCCCTACGGTCAGTATGAGAAAAAAATCAGCCAGGCTGATTGTACGAGTGGGCCTGAAAATTAAGTCAAAACATTGAATCTAGGAAAACCGTCTAAGAAACCATATCCTGAAACCCTAATTCTCCTATTAATTCACTGACAAGAAGTTTCTAAACCAGAATAATGAATAAGAAAAGACTTAAGGAAATATGGACAATGGGAATCATTTTTGTGAATGATTCAAACTGTAATAATACCAAACTGTTTGTATCTCATTGGTGACAGCTGCTCTGAGAAACATTATCATGCTGTTCTCACTTTTAAATATTATTTATCCTAAAAGGTAATAGCTAACATTTGTATGAGCAAACAGCACTTAAGGTTTCTGAGGATATAGTGTTTTTAAAAATATGTTAAAAGCCTTATAAACGCACAAGACTAATTCATTTTGTTTTATACTATGAGTATGTTCATTGAAATAATTCCTTAGAATTCAAGTTATTTTTTCACTCCTTGGAAAAAAGTTGTAAATTGAGAAGTTGTGTTTCTAAACACTTAAAGGCAAGAGGCAATGGATTTTCATTTTCAGGGATGAAATAGTTGGGAAAAGTGAGTGAAGATACATAAGATTTTGGAATGAGCTACTGGACAGTGATTTTAGAATTCCTTAAATTCCCAAAATTTTTGGCAAATTTGTACTATTTACTAAATTAAATTATATCTATTTGGAGGGACCTATGGTAAACAAAAGGGAGATAAAGTATATATTTTATTACTTTATTAAGAAATAATGATAATTCTGTGTCACTATAAATGGTAAGAAGGGATGTGGGAAGGCTAGAGAAAGAAAATTGATGAATTTATTAGTTTATTAATAACAAATAGATGAAGGAGGGCTGATTTCACTTAGAAACTTAGATTATTGGATGAGGGTTAAAATAGCACATTTCAGATGTGTTAATCAGAAACATCGCATTCTGGCGATATTGGGAAAAAAAATCTTAGTTCCAGATCCTGATTCTGCTAACTAATAGTTCTCACTATTAGTTAGACTCTGCTGTTTTGCACAAGAATCTTATTTCTCTTATGTTTTTCTTCCATGGTTTAGAAATAAATAAATGGGGAAATTTAAGCTATCTTACACCAAGACTTTGATGTGACAGTAATTTTTTTAATTAAAAAAAAAAAACTCTTCTCCCACATTTTTTCCACTTATCCAACCCTTGCTTTACCATTTTTTATGTTCCAAACTAGGGTAAAAGTTGATTTGTTCTGAATTGCTTAATATTATCTTTGCTAGAAAAGAGGTACGGTTCAATACTTGCTTCTTAAAGAAGTTGTGCATCCCCACCTCTCTACCACCCCTCACATTAAGTAAAACATTTATATAATAGGAACGTTTTAAATGAAAATACACAATGAGTTTCTCCTAACTTTTGATATTTCTTCTCAGTAATCCTAGTATGGGAAAGTGACCCCATGTTGCTCCATCATAAGGTAATAGACATTTACCTAAAAAAAAACACTTTAAAGTCTGTCGTTTGTCATGTAAAATCCATAAAGGTGAAAGGTTATCGTTGAAGATCCGGAATAAAATAAAACCTCATTAATTCCAATTTTGCTTTTTTAAAAGTTCGGTAAGTTGGCTTCATCGTATGCCGCTACTATTAATACGTTTGCTAAGCAAAATATTACATTAAAAATATAAGAGAAAAACTTAAACTGAAAAGCACTGTACTCATCAGATTTTTAAACATTTATTTTTACTGCTTTTCTCATAATTAAATGCAGTTAATGTTGTTTATTCACTCATTGCACAAATTAGAGAATCAAAATTAGATACCATTTCGGAACACTTAATCTTCACAATCCTTCAGATTTTGTTTATAATTTATTTAAAACACATTTTCTTGACCTACATGATTGTTCAGTGTAATTATAAGATTCTAAAATTTTTCAAGTGACTATGAAATAATAAATTACTACATATTTTACTAGCTTTTAAGAAAGTTATCCTCTTCCATAAGCTTAATACCAGGAATCTTGGTCTACATTGGCCTAGTGTGCCAGCACATCTCTACAACCCACGTGGAGCTTTATCTTTGTCAGTTCTGCACTCCCAGAACAGTAGAACCACCTGTGTAGTGATTATCTCAAGTTTTTTGCCTGCTCAACATACTTTCCACCTTCTTTGGGTATTGGCACCTATATGCCCTTTAGGAAATTTCTCATTCAAACTTTTTATTCATGTGGATTGTGGTGTCTTTGCCCAGATTCCCTAGAAATCAAAACCTGAGGCAAATGGCTTGTGCACTACCACTTTATTAGGAAGTGCAGCCCCAGGAAGCAGGAGTAGAGAACAAGTAGGGAAAGAAGTAGAGCCAACATGAGACTATGTCATCAAGCTGGTCGCTGCTAAGTGCAACTTGCTGTCTTCTAAGAAGCCATTAAACAGTGTTCTCAGGAGAGTCTTTTCTGGAAGAAAAAGAGGGAAGAATCTCTCTCTGGTCAAAGGTTTACCCAAGGTCAGACAACTAGAGTGGTGGGGCAAAGGTTCAAATTCAGACAGTCTGGCTCCAGAGTCCAGGCTTTCAACCATTTTACTAACTAATCTCATGAACGTTAGTCAGTGATAAGAGCTAAAGAGAGAATATAAGCATGGATAGGGGATAGTGTTGGTGGGGGGTGGGGCAGGACAGGGTTTGGAAATTTTATATAGATTGATCAAGGAAGAATTTATTGAGGTCATATTTAAGTAAAGACCTGAAGGACATAAGGGAGAGAACCAAGAAACTCTCTGGGGAAAGAGCATGCCAGGAAATGCAAAGAACTCAAGATAGTGTGTTTGAGGAACAATGAAGTAAACTATGGCAAAAACGTTGTGAGTGAGGTGGAGAGTAGCAGAAGATAAGGTCAAAGAGAAAAGGGGGTGTAGGTCATACAGGACTTTGCAGGTCACTGTAAGGACTTTGGCTTTTACTCTAAGATGGGAATCTGTTGGATGGTTTGGAACAGAGAAATGATGTGCTGTGACTTAAGTATTCCTAGGACCATTATGATAATAGAATGGAGGGGAGCTAATGCTGAAGCAGGAATAAGCAGTTAGGAGACCTTTTAATCTCTAAGTGAGAGAGGCTAGTGGCTTGGACCAGGGTGGTGGGAGTTGAGGTGATGAAAAGTAGCTGGGTCACTGTTATATTTTAAAAGTGGAAACAGGTTTTTTTGATGTATTTAGAAATTAATAAATGATAGATAACTAGAAAAAAGCCCTGTATTGGGAAATTAAAAAAAGACATTTTTAGCTAGCTCATGGGGCAGAGAGGAAAGCATAATGAAAATTAAAAAAAATATATAAGTACATATTTAAAATTAAAGCAAAATATGTGGGATGCACCTAAAGCATACTTGAAGGAAATCTGCGACCTTAAATGCTTATATTAAAAAAGGAATAGAGGTTGAAAATTCATAAAATAAGCATCCAACTTGAGAAGTTAGTAAAGCAACAGCAGAATGAACTCAAAGAGTTAGAAGGAAGGAAATAGTAAATTATACAAGCAGAAATTGATTTAAAAAAAAAAAGGAAGATTAACATAAAATAGAATCAACAAAACCAAAAAATTGGTCATTTGAAAATATTAATAAAAGGACATACCTGTCAAACTGATTAAAATAAAAGACAGAGAGAGAAAAAATAAATAATAGGAATTTAAAAGAGATGTAAATATAAATCCTGATGAGATTAAGAAGATAAAAAGAGATATTCCAAGTAACCCTGCTAGTAAATATAGCTTAGATAAAATTGTAAAATTCCTGGAAGAAAATAACTTAGCAAAATGCAATTAAGAAGAAATAGAAAATCTGAATAGTCTTGTCACCATTGAAGAAATACAATCTGTAGTTAAAATCTCCCCTCAAAGGAAACACCAGATCAAAATAGTTTTATTGGTAAATTCTATGAAGCATATAAGAAACAAATATCCCAGAATATTTAGAAACAGGCAACACTTCAAACTCATTTCAAATACCAGACTTTACTGAGGATACTGTAAGGTGGGATAATTACAGGCTAATCTCATTTATGACCATAGATGCAAAAATTTTTAAGAAAATACTAGAAAACTGAATTCAGTAATCTATTAAAAAGAAAATATCTAATGACTGATTTGTATTTATGCAGGAATACACAGCTTATTTAACATTTAAAAATTAATTAATGTAATTAAACACACAACTTTTGAAAGGATAAATAATCTTATGATCACATCTTAATAAATGCAGAAAATGGATATTTATATAATTCAACAGTCAGGAAAATATCTTACAAACTGGAAATTGATTATAAATTTGCATTAAATTCAGTATAAATGCCATTATATAGACAATCCATATCCCAAACAAACTTTTAAAAAACTAACCAAGCTGATTCTTACGTGTATATGAAATAGCAAAGGGCTAACAAGAACCAGTTCCTGAAGTAGATGAACAAGGTAGGGGTACTTGCCCTGTCAGATATCAAGACTTAGCAGATAGAAAACCATTGTAATTAAGATAATGTACAGGGATAGACATGCTTATATGGAACTGTGATATTTTACAGGATGGCCATGGCAGATTAGTGGTGAATACTGCCAGGACAATTATTTATCCGTGTAAGAAAAAAACAAAACAAAGAAATTGGAACCATGCCTAACAACATCATATCTGACCTCTCCTTTCCCCACTTACTCTTCCTCCACAAGTGTCTATCTATCTCTGTGATGGCATTCCATCCACCTAGTCACCCAAGCCACAAACCTGGGAGCCATCTTTGCCCCCTTCTCCAAACACGTCCTATTAAAATCCTCAAGTCTGATACATACACTGTGGAACATCTTTTCACTCCTCCATTGCTGTGCTAGCTCCCACTAAGGCTTCAGGTCTCAGTTTATATAGCATTTCTGAGTTAGGGTCTCCTCCTATGTGGTCCCATCACTCCCTGTACTTAACCCTGTTACTATTACACTTACACTATTGTAACTGCAGTTTTCTTCTAGATAGATTTTATGAGGACCCACTATAAAATCCTTGAGGGATGGTATTCCAATTTCCAGTTCCTAGCACTGTGCCTGGAATAGAGTAAATGATACTCATTCATGAACTAACTTTTAGCTCTACAACTAAAACATCTGAAATTTGTTTAAGCCCTCTTATTATCTCACTCTAGTGTTTGGTGTGTTCCCCAAATATACTCTTCTAGGTTAAGATAATATTATTTCAGGCTATTGTAAAACCACTTTTACACAGTCTTCCTTCCTTCACATTGATTAAAGATATTTCATGTATGAGCAAAAAACATTCTAAGTTAATTCAATTCTATTTTTCTAGAATGATGTTTCTCTGAAAGGGAATAAATCATCATGTTGTAACACAAAACGGGTTGTTACATGAGTTTTCAAAAATATCTTTCCTCTTTAGTCAAATAAAACATTAATTAGAAATGTCTGAAACATTTTAGGTGTCTAACACATTTTTGTTGAATGAATGCAAGATTAAAGATATAAGCAGTGTGTTTAATATTTTATTTAAATCTAGAAATGACTTTTCTTGTTTATTTATTATTATCTTTTTTTCTCATTTCTTTCTGAAGAATTTTGACTGGCCAATAGAAGGACTGCTTGTTCCCAACAGTCCTCCCATGAAGAAATCCATCTGTAAGACACCAGAGCAATATATTCCTGTGAGACTCAGAGTTTTGCGAAATGGAGACAAGAATAAAAACAGAGCTCTTTTTATAATTGGTCCAGAAATCTCACCTAGACGGAAAGCGCAGTAAGAACAGCTTGTTCCTACCTCACATTAAATACACGTCCTAGTTTCTACAGATTTTTATCTCTTGCTTGAAGATGTTTTCTGGGGGACTTTGTGTTTGTTGGAAAAAAAAACCTCCCATATTGACAGTTGGAGATGAAAATAGATACTAACATTCATTTAGTTTCTCTTTCAGGACCTTAATTTGAACTCTGCTCTGTTAGGGTAAGCACAGGAAAAGATAGTGAGCTGGAAACAAGTAGTTTTGATGAAAAAGTTTCTATGATCAATATGTCCATTTTGAGTTAGCATTTCTTTTGTTTGGGTTTTATTACTGTGTCTTGAAATAATTGAACTTATATAAATTTCTTCATAAATATAATTTTGTAACTATTTATTTAGATTGTTATTATACACAATTATTTTATTATGTTTAAACCTTTGGAATACTTGATGAAAAAATATAAAACAAACCAAACCCGTTGCCACCAAGTCAATTCCGACTCACAGAGTTCTCAAAAATATAACTTTATACAATTTATATTCCTGCATTGGAATAACACTTTAAAACTGCTATATTTGCATTACATTTTATGGCAAAAGGAATACTAGATCATTGAAAAATTCTGACGTAGAGAATGAGTTAAACACATTGTTTCCCGTATTATTAGCAGTGATGTTACCGCTTGACCTTTCTTTTGAGATGTGTAGAATATTTGAGGCTGTGATAATAGTTTAATATTACTTTCTTCACATTGATTAAATATACTCCATACATCGCTGAACAATGAGTAACATTCAGATCGGCTGTCCACTGAACTGCCTGTAAAGATGATAAAGTAAAAAATTAATCTTCAAAGTAAAGTCAAGCCTGAAATTGAAATCTTTGACGCGTACATTTAGTAATTAGCTTATTCTGCTAGATGTAAAACGTGAGGGTAATGCCCTTAAAGTAGTTCATGTCTTTTTTTCCTTTTTAACATCCAAAGTTAACAATTTCTGTCCTTTCTCAAATTTATTTTTTCTCTATATTTAATTGTGGATCTACATTATATACAGAATTTTTTAAAGCACATTAATATTTTTAAATGCACAGTTCAAACAAGTAATCCAAACATGATTTGAGAGATTTGTTAATTTGAACAACTATTCTAGCAGAGAGTATGTGAATCTCTCCACCGTCTGCTAATGATATGATTATGGGACAGCATGTTCTGGTTAATCAAATATTCAGGTATTAGAGAGTCACTTTGTTCACTACATGAATTAATTATTCCCAAATAATTAAAATATACTGGCATACACTTGACACTAAAACTCTACTAACTACAGTTTAAATTTTCTTTGCTGATTCTTAAAGTGTTCTACAGGATCATAAATAGCATTTTTCCCCCCCAGAACTATTAATAGCTAGGTTAACAGAAAGTTTAAATGGTACGAGTTTTCACTAACATTACAGGGTAGCTGTGTTGCACAGCTCCAGAGGGCACCTTTCACGTTCGCATTATATCCCATATGAATGGCCTCCCAGAGTTGTGAAAGCTGGAGGCCCTGCTGTGTTACTTTGAATATATCCAAGCTAAATGTCTTATCTTTCAGAAGAAATAAATTCTAATGACAGATAAGGATACATTACTTGCATTAGTCTGAAACTTAAAAAAGAAAGAGGATGGGGTTGTTTGGTAAGTTTACAAGCAAAATCAGGCCAGAATGATGAATATACATCCATTTTAACCAAATCCTGCTCTTGTAGCATGCTATCCTTTAGTTATTTAATAATTCATTCTAGGCAGTTTTAATTTTTGTTATTGGTGGTAGTTCTTCCACCTACAAAGCCAAAGAAAGATCAAATAACACTTGTTCCTTCCTCAGTTCATCATTTCTCTTAGTGAGTAACTATATCTTGTCAATGGGGCAGTTCTACTCTGTCACATGAATTGGAATCCACTGGACAGGCCCCAGCAAGTTTTGATAATGGCTGTCAAATCCATATAAATTAAGACCAGCATAATTTTTCTTGTGTTATAGGTGAATATCATCTCTCAGAACCCTGAGTTAAGAGAGGAAAAATTTTTCAAGTGATACTTTAAGGAATTATAAAAAGAGGGGACCATATGAAGCTATAAAATAAACTATATTTTAGATAATTTCCATATATATATGTGTGTGGTGTGTGTGTGTATATGTATGCCTTATGTATTAATAAGTTATAATCCCTGGACTTACTCAAACTCCTTCATACAGGTTTTAAGGCCCTAAATGGCCTGTCCCTGAATATTTCTTGAGCTCTATTTCCTATCAACACTCTTCCCATTTCCCACTCTCAGACTCCCTCCCTCACTCCCAACACCTCCCATCTACCTTAATCCTAAAGGTCTTTTGAGAATGAGTTTGGACTTCATTTCTAGATGTTGGCCCTGAACTTGACTCCCTCCCCTCACCTGCGTTAGCTGTAGCTGCTATGTACTTCATTGTTCCTATTGCCATGGGCTTTCCACCAGCATAGCATATACTACTCTGTTAGTGATTATCTGCTTATGTCTCCATTCATGAGATAGAGAACAGTGATGATGCATTGTTTGTTCATATATGCACTATCTGCTATGGTATGGTCATGGAACAGTGTGTCCTGGTTAATCCAACACTAAAGTATTAGAGGATCACTTTGCTTACCACACAATTTAAGGCCCACAATTGGCCTAAGTCAGTCTTACTGAAGAATGAATAAATGAATAGATAAATATATTTGATTACCATTTCTAATGAAGGACTACTCAATAACTATATTTGACCACTATTTCTTTCATTTAATAAAATATAAAGATTCTAAAAATGCACAGAAGAGCTTTGTAACTTGAAAATTTGAATGGGTGTATATTCCAGTGAAGCATTCTTTTTCTAAGACCATCATTGTTTATTTTTTCAGTTTAAAAATGTTTAAGTATGAATTGATAAGAGAAAAATACATTAATAAAACATCATAGGCAAAATGAATGTAATCTCTGCATTGTCTTCAAAGTAGATAAATTCACACCTCAGAGTGTTCAGTATTATTAGAAGAGGATTAAAATATTGGAAATTATTTTCTTGCAAGATTCACTTATAATGTCTGTGTTTACAAAGTTTAATATTTAATTTGATAGTTTTCAAAACTCATTTTTTTTAGAAAGGCAAATTGTTTTAGGGAAAATCATGATAAAATAGGACCTCATAATTTTTCACATATTTAAACAAGTTGAAAAGATAACTGACAATGTATACTGACATATCAATCAAATCTTGGATCATTTGTTTCAGAAATGTCGACACTGAAAGGAAAGAAAATGTGAAAATCCATGTCACTAAATATTCTGAAACAGAAACAAACCAGACTGAGTTTCTTCAGTTTTTGGAGAGGTAAATATTTAATATCCTAAATATAAAGCTATTTTCTATTCAAATGGCTGAATGATTATGTATAAAGCATAACACAAAATACGTATGTCTACATAAGAAAACAGTTGCTAATATAATGATTCTGGAGTTTTTAATCTGGGAATTATATTAACTATGTGACAGTCCATGATACCCGTGCTGATTAATATGAAAATAATCTTTTAAATTTCAAGGTCTGGCAAGTTCCCATAGCTTTCTGAACTACCAGTTCTGTAGATATAAATTACTTTCTTTTTTTATCCATTTCACAATTTTACAACAACATCTTTCTTTGGTTTATATTTGCCTAAATTGAGGTCAGGGTAGTTGCATTTTTGTATTTTATGTACTCTAAACCAAATTTTTAAATATCACAAAACTGCATCATATTTTAAAGATAGTATAATTTTTCTTTTGATCAATATTTTCTCACCAAAACAAGATTTGTTTCCATAGAATTCCATCACTGTTCAAAGGTAGAGCACCTGATATGAATTTTATTTGTTTAAAATGTCTTGTCAAATATAGGGAAGCAGTTTTATAGAATTTGAGGAAAATTGTGTGTAAAAACTCATTTTAAAATAACAGATATAGAACTTTTTTGTTGGTACCTACCTGTGAAGTTTTAGATAACATGGAGTATTGGAAAAACCATTGGCTTAGGAGGCTGGGGACCTGAACTTTAACCCTAGGTTTGCCATTAACTAGCTGGGAGGTAAAGCCATTCTTAAGGCTCGGTTTCCTCATCTGTTAAACAGGAAGATAGGAAGAGGAGCTAAGAGGATAGAAAGGAAGAATTTGATTATTTTCAACAGGAATCTGTTGTGTTCATATTATGTGTATAGATCAGTGTTGGAAGTTCTGCAGGAGATTTAAAAACAAAACAATGCAAGGCAAGGCATTCTTTGCTCTTAAGAAACTCACAATTTTTTTGTGGAGTAGAGTTTGCTTAGTGAAATAATTAGAAAGCCACACATGGCAGTACTTACTGAATGGAAGTGAAAATGATCAAGTGACAAAGGTATATGACATGTTGTGGTTAACCAGGAAAGAGAGGGAGCCTTGTGAGGGGCAGCTGCCAGTGAAGACCACATGGAGAGAGTGAGGCTTAAAATGGGCCTTGATGAAGAGGAGAGAAAGTGAGACAGAAGATAAAGGAAAAAAGCACATACCCATAGCTTCATTAGGTCTTGCTACTCTTTGGAAATAACTGGAACTCATTTTGCCAACTTGGGGGACTAGGGCTGAAGGAAAAATGCATGGGGCTCCAGGGAGGGGCATCCTGGTGAGTGGTTGGAGGAAGGAGGTCTCCATTATTGCAGAGCTGTAGCTATCTCTGGGTCTGGAAGACACAGCTCCTTCTTATCCCTCCTGCCCTTTTCTCTCAGGGACATCCTGGGTTGTATTATAATGCAGTCCTCAGGGAGCCAGCTCCATCTGATGCTTCTCTGTTCCATCCCTGAGAAAGCAAAGTCAGAGATAAGATTCTGCTTTATAAACTCAAGTGGGCCATGGAGTTATCCATGCTAATTTCTGGGTGAGAGTTAGGAGACTTTATTTCTATGGCTTTGCCTTCACGTAGCTGGGAAATTCTGGACAGTTTAAGCAGCACTTCGTGCCTCAGTTTCCTCACTTTTTAAATCTAATATCTATCATTCTATGATGATGCCCACTGAGGAGGCCATATGATGTAGTAGTAAAAAATCCAGAGACATTTAGGTTTGAATTTCATCTCTCTTAATTACTAGCTATACAACCTTGGGCAAGGAACTTAATATCCAGGCTCAGTTTCCTCATCAGTAAAATAGGCTTCTCAGAAATGGTGTGAGAATTAAATGAGAAAGTAGACCTGAAATGCTTATAGTCCTCAGTCCATTGTAATAATGTGTTGCTCACATTTTATGTACCAGGCACTTATAGGTATTCACCCACTTAATCCGCAAAATATCCCTATGAGATAAGTATTACTGTATCTGTCTTTTACTGATGGAGCAAATGAGGCCCAGAAAAGCTAAGTAATTTCTCCAAGGTCACTCAACCAGCATGTGAGAGGGCTAGAATTTGAATCCTGGCAGTCTGACTCTGGAGCCCACACACAATATTAGATGCTTAAGAGCTAATTCTTTTCTTCTCGTCTCTTCTCTCCACATTTGTTTTGACTGGCACATGAGCTAGCTAGAGGAATCAAATACAGAAGAAACAGCTTACCCCAATCCTCTCCACCTAAATGTGCCAATCAAATTCAGCACTCTGAAAACAAAGGTTTCAAAAAAAAAAAAAGAGAGAGGAAGAAAGACTTGCCAACCACCCATTCCTTCTATTCTCCCACTTGTTGCCCAAAAGCAACATATTCCCACGTTCCAAACATTCTCCCAAGAAAAATGTGAGTAGGGGCAGTAACTCTTGTAATGGCCATCCTATAACCATGCTTGGACCCACAAAGAGACCATCTGGGAAAAATAGAAGGAATTGTGTTGGATCCTTAGGCATCATCCAAACAACAGCAGGCAAATCTTGTGACTGGGGTCAATCCTCTCACAGTTCCCTTCTACCCCACCCCACCAGCTCCTACCGATGAGAAACATGGCCCAGTCCTCACCAGTTGTCCATCAGACTGCAGGGTTGTTACATGAGAAGCAGGGACTTAGTTCCCACTGGCTTCTTTCCTTCTAAGACTCTGTCAGAGAAATGGAGGTCCTAATTATTTGCTCAATTGCTTTGTCCCAGTAAGGGAGTAAAATTTAGAAATATTCTCCACACAGCTGAATCTTGCTAATAAATATAAAGTCACCTCTAATTTGTTTACTATAAACAGTACATTCTAACATAAAATGTGTTCGGCAAGAATCTTTTACTTTCCTTTTTCCAAAGGTAGGATTGTCAAAACAGTGCTTTTAGGAAATGTCCCATCACTGTCCCTTAGTTCTACTTCCCCTTCCTCACATTTCTACCTCTATCTTAAATTGGCCATAGGGGTCCTAGCCTCTGCCACCTCCAGCTCATCTTCTCCTCTGACAGAGTTAATTTTCTAAGAACAGATCTGATAACACCATACCTCTGCTCTCATATCTTCAATGGCTTCTTGATATTTATGGAATAGAGGCCAAGTTCATTAGCCTGGCATCCTAAGTGCTTTCAAATTGGTACTTATGTTCCTTTCCAACTTCATCTTTCTCCTCCTCCTCTTCATATACTTAGTTCCAGCCAAACGAAACTCTTCCTCTATGTCCTACCATTGCTTGATGAACTCCTGCTTAACCTTCAATGTCCAATCCAAATGTTTCCTCCTTAGATGACTCTCCCTTGGAGGGATTTATTGTGTCTTTCTGTATATTCTTATAGCACACTGGCCAGATTCCTATGACAGCACATAGGACAGTTTGCTGACCTGTTTCTCCCCCTTTCTGGACAGAGAACTCCTCAATGAACAGTGAAGCTATGTCATTTATCTTGGTATTCACAGGGCTGACCCAGTGCCTGTTGAGGAAAAAAATCACTGTTTGATGTTTAACCAGGCTAAAAATTTTTTTAGTAGGCAAGTTAAAAGTCTTGAGATATCACTCCTGGTGGAGAGATAAGGAAATGCTTGGTGAAGCATTTGGAGGGCTTGGGGAAGGGGTAGAACTTCAATGGAAAAATCCAGCGAAGGTTTTTGGACAGAAGGAAGAGCATGAGCAAAGGCTCAGAAATAGGAGAGTACAGGGGATACTGAAGAATGAAAAGTCAATAATGATATGTCTGCTTATTTATTGATCACGCCCAACACTGTGCTAAGCACTTTTCAACATTAATACTAATCTTCACAACTCTGGAAAGTAAGAAATTTAGCCTCAGAGAAGTTAAATAATTCGCTCAAGTTTCACAGCTTGGAGAGGGGCAGAGAGACTCAAAAGGGTCTGATGGACTCCAGAGCCCGGCTCTTGACTGTCTCCCAGTCCTGCAGAGGGAGTGGCCGTTTAGAGATTCAGGTCCTTGATATCTTTTATTTCCTCTCTTCTCTACTGGAAGCTTGTTCCATGCAAGGTCAATTTGTGTGTGTGTGTGTCTCTCATTACAGGTGCACTGAAAATTTAAAATTACCTTCTGCAGCTCGGAGATTGTTCAGTGAAAAGGGGAAGGAAATCTTTGCTTTAAAAGACCTGCAAAGAGATGAACTGGTAAAGATGTGAATTTTTGGTGTATGTCTTTTGCCCATTTGGAAAATTTTCAGGCCATTATATCTTTGAAAACTTTTTCAGCCCTGCCCAGTTTCTCCTTTCTTTCAGGAACTCAAATGGCGTGAATATTAGATCTTTTGTTATAGTCCCACAGAACCTGAGCCTCTAGTCTTTTTTTTTGTTAAGACTATTTCCCCTCTGTTTTTCAGATTGGTGATTTTTATTGTTCTATCTTTCAAGTCACTCATTCTTTCCCCTGCCTTCTCCACTCTGTTCTTCATCTCATCCACTGAGCTCATTCACTGAGCTTTTTATTTCAGTTTTTGAATTTTTCAGTTTCTAAAATTTCCATTTGTTTCTTCTTTATATCTTCTATTCCTTTGCTGAGATTTTCTAATTTTCATTAGTTGAAGTTTGATCATAATTGCTGTTGAAGCATTTTTATTATGGCTGCTTTAAAATCCTTCTCAGATAATTCTAACATCTCTGTCATCTCAGTGCTAGCATCTATTGGTTATCTCATCTCATTCAAGGTGGATTTTCCCAGTTATTGGTATGATGAATGATTTTCGATTGAAACCTCGATATTTGAGGGTATTATAAGACTCTGGATTTTATTAAATCTTCAGTTTTGGCTAATCTCCTTTGACACTTCTCTGGCAGGGGAAGGGGTAGTGTTGCTTTGTTACTGCCAAGTTCGGGGGGAAGTTCAGGTTTCCCACTTGGTCTCCACTGATATCGGGGTGGGGGCAGAGGAGCTCCTCATTACTGCTGGGCAAGGATGGGTGTTCTGGTTCCACATTAGGCCTCTGCTGATACCACCTTGGCTGGGAGGGGCAGGAATGACTTATTACTGCTCCTCATATGGCATTCACTGGCACTGGGGCAGGGGTGGCCTCATTATTGCTGGGCAGTGATGAAAGTCTTAAATCTCCATTAACACTCCCCTGCTATCACCCCAGCAGGGAGCAGAAGGGATGTCTCTTTACCACTGGGTTAGGGTAGAAATCCATGCTGCCCATGCAGGGTTGGGAGTGAAGGGATGGTGTATCCTCATAACCACACAATCGGGATGAAAGTGCTTGCTCCTACTCTGCTTTCTCTGACACCATCCTGGTGGTGGTGGTGGTGTGTGTGTGTTGGGGTGAGGGTGGTTAGGAGCTTCATTACAGCCTGGTAAGGACTGTAGTATAGGCTGCCCATTTGGCCTTTGCTGGTAGGGATGGAAGAGGGAGAGTTTTTTCTGTGGTGTTTGGATATAGTGGAATGGTTATTGTCTAAAAGTTTCCTGTCTTTCTATGTTGCCTTTTTCTTGGTCCTTTGGCTAGAGACCAGTCTTTGGTTGGGTCTTTTTTTGTCAGAGCTCATTGGTATATCCAGGTCGCCAACTTCACCAGCATTGAGTCTAGGATCTCTGAGGCAAAAGAAAACCCAGAGAACTACCACCATGTTGTTCCTTGGATCCCAAGTTCCCAGGCTGGATTGCTTCATCTCTCCATCCTTCAGAGTCTTCTTACGTTTGTTTTATACATAACGGCTAGGAATTTTAACAAGAGGAATAAGGAGAGGTACTTTTTCATCTTTCTGGAAGTGGAAGTCTTTCCTTTCTTTCTTAATGGAAGCATACAATACATAATACTTTGTATTCTGCTTTTTCATTTAATAAATCATGAACATCTTTCTATGTCATTACATATTCTTTTATTTTAAATAACCACATATACTTCCTTGTGTGTTTGCAGTTTTACTTATTCAGTACTCACTTATTGCATATTTGGATTATTTCTAGGATTTTGTTATTATATATAATGCTACAATGAACTCGCTTCTTCAAAAATTTTTCCTATATCCCTGATTATTTCCTTATGCTAAACTTTTAAAAGTAGAATTGCTGTCTCAAAGAATATATATAATTTTCCTGATTTATTTTGCATAGGTGTGTTTCATATATCATCCTTAAGGGAAGACTGATGGCACACCACAAAAATACAATTCAGTAAACACACTTCTTCTACAGATTCAAAATACTACCTGAGTAGGTAGCTATCCATTGATCCAAGTTAATCTATGGACATTTACTACTATGACACTTAATGAAAGCCATAGACTACCTCTACAACTTATTTAGTTTACCTCTTTGTTTTAAGCTGGATAATTTTTTAACTTGCTTGAATCAGAGACTCATTTCTTTGACAGGTATATGTTTCATGTGGAGAAAATTGGATCAATCCTGACCTGTCCATTTCTCAGCAAAAGAAGCAAATCTTCCTTAGGAACCTAGCATTAGACATTTCCAAAATTCAAATCTTCTGCAGTATGCGTAAGAAGGAGGGTAAGCATTGGAAATATTTACTTTAATATGTACGGCCAAAATAAATTTTGGATGCTATTGCTTTTTTAAAAAAATAGAAGGTTTTTTTTTGTTTGTTTTCAAGAGACCATTTTACTCCTGCATTTTGCTGTTTAGCTCTTTAGACTGCGTATTTAACAGGATGCCTGGTGGCACAGTTAAGTGCTCAGCTGCTAACAGAAAGGACAGCCATTCAAACCCATCATCTGCTCCTTGGGAGAAAGATGTGGCAGTCTGCTTCCGTAAAGATTACAGCCTTAGAAACCCTGTGGGGCAGTTCTACTCTGTCCTACAGGGTTGCTATGAGTAGGAATCAACTCGATGGCAGTGGGTTTATATGTTTACCAGGGTTGTGTTGTAATTTACACTACAATTTGGATATGCAGAGAAAATATGCTTAATTTTGTTCTTTGTAATATACTTAATTTTGTGAACCCTATGCACCCCATCTAGGAAAAAATTAAATCTCCAATCAGGTCTAAATTTTGTCCAATCCATTAATTTAAATGTTCCCTTTAAGATGGGCTTTCCTATTTCTGTTTCTAGACCCTCACTGTAGTTCTTCTCTAGGATGGAAAGCATGGTGGAAGGAAATACCTTGGGTAGAATATCCTCTCACTCCCTGGGCCTTGCTGGCTGAAGTCCACAGCTGGGTTGATTTGTAGTCCGTTATTTTGCTGTAGGAAATGCTTTGGGTGGGTGGAGCTTCCTACTTGATTTGACCTCTTATCTACTCCCCATGCCTCCCTGAGGCCTGGCTGTGACTGAGTGGCCATCCCTGCAGCCCTTTTTACAGATTCACCTCACCCCTGCTTAGTGTCACTTCTGGAAAGCTCCCCAGAAGGGCTCTCAGTAAGTCCTGGGTCATGGCTGCATCCCCAGAAACCAAGTCCAGCTTCACCACTATGTTCTCATGGTTGTGCCTATGTTGGAGTGGCAAGGACAGCTTGAGAGGTGACCTCCTCCTGGTGTCCTGAACTTTAAGCAGTGTCTCAGTGTTTCCTTGGCTTAGCTGAGATATCAGAAGGGAAGCCTGTAGGGGGAAATCAGGATACTATGTGCTAGTTAATGCCTTTCTCTGTCTTCTACCCTAGATTCCTTCAAGTCCCAAAATGGCGAGTGTTCTCCAGGTCAATTCTGAGGTTAACCTTTTATATGCTAAAAGGAAGCTAAAGGCATCTGGAAAAATCCTAAGTCATAACAATATCCTTACAGGGCTGTTGTCTTATGGCAGTATCCTGTGCTTGAGTGTCAAACTCAATCTTTGCACTCTTGCATTTCTTTTGTAACATTTCTTATCTCCTCCTTTTCCTCCTCCTTCTCTTGTGGCTGCCCTAGAATAAAGGTCAGGGAGCAAGAAAGGGAATAGAGAAAAGCTCATTAGTGTAATTTAAAACATTACTCCATTACATATATTGAACACACTATATCTTAAGTTTTGCATTTCTCTTTATAGGCACTGGGGAGTTTCACTGATGATTTGTGATCCCAGAGAATGATACACGGGAAAAAAAAAAGTTGCTGTTGAATTGATTTCAACTCCTGACAACCTAGAGAGATTTATATAAATAATGTGGTCCATTTGAATAATTACTATTTAGAATAATTAATTTAGGAGAGAAGGACCTATTTTTTTAGTACTTTTTGCCTAAAAATATTTTGAGAAAGAAGAATCTGCAAGAATTAAATTAACAGAAATAAGTACAACTTATTAGTTTACAAAGCAACTATCAATTACTCTTAAAATTCTTTCTCTTAGACCAAATAGCTAGTGCTCTGCAATCATGACTAACATGTTGTTGGAATTTGTGCATTTCTGCTTAGATCTTGTTTTAGAAGTCCAAAGTGACATTATATCTGGAGCCAAGCTTGCTGTACATAAACCTGTAGGAAATTTTGGAAAAGAGAAGCAAATTGTAGACCCAGAGGAAAAGCAAGTGCAAAAAAATGCTTCAACAAGGGAAAAGGCTTCCGGTGAAATTCTGTAAGTAATCGTTGTGGCCAGAAAAGCTACAGAGTTGCTATCTGAACTCAGCTCATTAGCCCTTTAACAGCCTGGAGCCCATGCAGGGAAAGCAAGGCAAGTTTGTGAAACTAATGTCAGGTGAACAGCTAGAATTTAATTAGTTTTTGGCAAACCAATGGAACTGGAGTTTCAATGTTCTACTTTCAGTAATTTTGTTTTGTTAGTATTATTTTTAAAAGACTAGAAGCTTAGAATTTTAGACAGTGACATGAAGAACTAATCACATTTTGTTCCATAAATGTTGACTTTAGGAAAAATTAAGCTTCTTCCCTCATATGGGTTCAAGTTAAAACCCACTGCGTCGAGTCAATTCTGACTCATAGTGACCCTATAGGACGGAGTGGAACTGCCTCATAGGGTTTCCAAGGCTGTAAATCTTTACAGAAGCAGACTGTCACATCTTTCTCCCTTGGAGCAGCTAGTGGATTCAAAGCATGGACCTTTCAGTTATCAGCAGAGTGCTTTAACCACTGTGCCACTAGGGCTCCTTAGGTTCGAGTTAGTTGCGTGTTAACATGCATTTATCAATCTTTCACCTGGACCATTGTAACAGCTTTGTGATTGGTCTCCCTATTGTCATAATCCCTTGCCTATTCACCTCTGAGTTCTATCTGTTGACAATTATCTTTCTAAAACACAATCCTTTTCATAGAATCTTCTAATAACAACCTGTTGCAGGCAGAAAAAAAGAAAATAATTTTGTCTGAAATACAAAGCCTTTCTTACCCTAATCCAGGCCTGACATTGGCCCTCATTTATACTCCCATGCCTACTTCCCCTCCATATTTTTTCTTTCAGCCACATAAACTCCAAGTTCTAGCTCAGCCACTACAGGTGCCCCTGAATGTGGCACACTGTATTTCCACTTTACTGCAGACCCCTGAAAAGCAGCCCTGGTGGCACAGTGGTTAAGCGCTCACCTAACAGAAGGATCAGCAGTTTGAACCCACCAGCTGCTCTGTGGGAGAAAGATGTGTCAGTCTGCTTCTGTAAAGATTACAGCCTTGGAAACGCTATTGGGCAGTTGTGCTCTGTCCTACAGGGTTGTTATGAGTTGGAGTCTACTTGATGGCAAGGGTCTGTTTTTTTGGTTTTGGCAGGCTCCTGAGCCACATATTCAGTTCTCCTCACCTAGAGTGCCTTTACTTGCCCCATACTCACCTGTAGAATGATTCTTCATCACTGAAATCAATCACGGCAATGACTGTATGTAGCAGAGTACTTATCAGTCTCCTTCCCCCAACCTGAGAACTCCTTGAGGGCAAGGACTCTGTCACACATGCCCTGTGAAGAACCTCTGTCACACATGCTCTGTGAAGAGTGGAGTAACTGGCTTTAAGAATTATTTACTGAATAAATGATCAAATGAGGTTCCAAAGAGTAAAACCAAAAACAGCTGGTCAATTAATTTTGCAATAATTGTGAAAATTAACTTACATATCATTGTTACAAACAATTTTTAAAAGATTGTCTTTATGCTAAATTATAAGAATATCAACTTTTATTTTAGGAACCAAGTTCCTTCCTTTGATAGGTGAGACATCTGGTCCTATGTTTTGACACTAAAAAGAAGCACCAGAAAAAAAGAAGCACCAGAAATCACTTTTCAGGGAGAATGTATGATTTGACCAATCTGGCATCTTCCCTAATGGTTAGGGAATTTACTACAAACTTTCCTAACAGCCCCTCAATAAATTGTTTTACCTTCCATTACTCTTCTAAAGAATCATCTAGTCTCTTCATCATTAGAGTGCACTTGGGGAAAACAACAACAACAAGGAAAAAAAAAAAAAAAAACCAGAAAGAAATGTCATTGAGAGCAAAGATCTGCGTAGTTTTGATTCATAGATTTCATCAAGTCCTGGAGGTTAAAATCATTGGATCCACTCACAACACAATGCAGGAATCTTCTGCATGTTCCAAGCAGGGTTTTGAACCTGTTCATTCTGTTTCAAACTGCTGCTGAGAACAAGTTCCTTACTGAGAATTTGCATTTCTAACAAGTTCCCAGGAAGTTATACGTAAGAATCACCTGGGGGTCTTGTTAAAATGTAGATTCTGATTCAGTATATCTAGGGTGGAAATGCAAATTCGCAGCAGGGTTTCAAACCAGAACAAACTGATTCAAAGCTTTAGTTCCAGGCAGGCTGTCTCTGATCCAGCTCTTTTTGATTATTCCCAATAACAGAGAGATCACTATTTAATAAAGTAGCCCATTCTAATTTTTGAATAATTAACTACCTAGAATATCTCCATCCTATCATTTCATCTGTTTGTCTGTACTATTCTCTATTCCTCTTCTGCTTTAAAATCCTTAAAATAGTCAATGCTCACCATCATCAGTCTTGTGTGTTATCTCTTTTCCAGGCTAAATCTCACCAGTTCTTTGAACCATTTCTGATGACATGCTCCTAATTCATCTTACATTGGCAAGTCACTCTAAGATTTTCTCAGACTTTCTTAGATATGTGGTGATATCCAAACCAAAACCATTGCTGTTGAGTTGATTCCAACTCATAGCAACCTGGTAGGACAGCGTAGAACTGCCAGTGATGGTTAAGATTGTGTGTCAACTTGTCTGGGCCATGATTCTCAGTGTTTATATGTGATCACCCCCATGATGGGATCTACTGTGAGTTGCCAATCAGTTGGAAGTGAGTTTCCTTGGGCATGTAGCCTGCATCTGAATATAAGCAGATGTTCTAGCTTTTGCCTGCTCTGGATCCTGCAGCTGGCTCCTGTTTGTTTGACCTCCGGTTCTTGGGACTTGAACTAGCAGCTTACCTGCCGAACTTGGGATTCATCAATCTTCCCAGCCTGTGAGCAAGAGCCCGTCTCTCCAACCTGCCCATCTTGGGTTTACCAGCCCCTGTGGCTACATGAATCAGGAGAAGCTTCTATCCTGATCCACAGACTTGGGACGTTCCAGCCTGTACAACTGCACGAGCTGTTCCCTTGGTATAAATCTCTCTCTATATATATTTATATGCTTTACCGGTTTTGCTTCTCTAGAGACCCACCCTAAGATATTTGGTACCAGGAGTAGGGTGCATCTAGGCACTTATCAGTAGAGCTACAGACCTTTGGAACACTTGCCCCAGTAGGGCAGACACAGATCTGACGGGCTGAGAGGCCAAGGAACCAGGAAGCAAAAGCTGAAGAGACAAGGAACACAGGAAGCCAAGCTGCCTCAGTCTCAAAGGGCATGGCCACGACCTCTGGGGCTTCAAAAGGTGGAGACATGGCCTCTCGTGTTTCTAAGGGTAGAATCACCACTTAGATGGACTAGAAGAATGGGGCGCCTAAAGCAGAGTTGCTGTCACAGTGGGCCTGGAAGGTGGAGCTGAAGCCCAGGGCCGAGGGGCCTCGACTCAGAATCCGGAGAGTGTGGCCAATACGGAAAGTCTGGAGGGCAGGGCCATTGTGTAAATGGTCTCAGAGAACAGAGGATTATTTTCAAGGTTTGAGGGCTAATGTAATGTGTTCTGCTGACTTGCTTGGTGCCTGTTATCCCTTCTTTCCCTCTAGTTTCTCCCATTTGTAATGGAAATATCTAGCTTGTGGCTATTCTACCACTGTACTTTGGAAGAGACAACTTGTATTCTAGATTTCACAGATGAAGAGGAATTTTTTTTTATTTTGGACTTGGGAGTTGATTTAAGACTTTTGCTATGATATGATGGAGTGAATATGTTTCACATGTGGCAAGGACATGAATTTTCGGGGACCTCATACCACCAAGAAAGCAGCACTGGGAGCAGAGCACATCCCTTGGACCCAGAGTTCCTGCACAGAGAATTTCCTAGTCCAGGGGAAGATTAATGACAAGGACCTTCCTCCAGAACCGACAGAGAAAGCCTTCTCCTGGAGCTGATGCCCTGAATTTGGACTTTTAGCCTACTAGACTGTGAGAGAATAAACTTCTGTTTGTTAAAGCCATCCACTTGTGATAGTTCTGTTTCAGCAGCAGTAGATGACTAAGACACTGCCCCATAGGATTTCTGTCATGGATTGAATTGTGTCCCCCAAAAATATGTGTCAACTTGTTTAGGCCATGATTCCCAGTATTGTGTGGTTGTCCTCAATTTTGTGATTGATATACTTTTCTTATGTGTTGTAAATCCTAATCTCTGCCTGTGGTTAATGAGGCAAGATTAGATTATGTTAAAGAGGATTAGGGTAGAATTGTAACACCCTTACTAAGGTCACATCCCTGATCCAATGTAAAGGGAGTTTCCCTAGGTTGTGGCCTGCACCACCTTTTGTCTTACAAGAGATAAATGGAAAGGGAAGGGAGCAGAGAGGGGGTGACCTCATACCACCAAGAAAGCAGTGCCAGGAGCAAAGCGTGTCCTCTGGACCCGAGGTTCCTGCTCAGGGAAGCTCCTAGACCATGGGAAGATTGATGATAAGGACCTTCCTCTGGAGCTAACAGAAAGAGAAAGCCTTCCCCTGGAGCTGATGCCCTGAATTTGGACTTCTAGCCTACTAGACTGTGAGAGAATAAAGTTCTGTGTGTTGAAGCCATCTACTTGACTAAGACAATTTCCAAGGAGCAGCTGGTGGATTTGATAGCCAACCTTTAGGTTAGCCACCGAGCTTCTTAACTGGTGTGATAACAGTGGCGGATTAACCAGTAAGCGCAGTATACACCGGCTTACAGTAAGCAAAGTACACACTAGCTTAACTGTGTTTATTTACTAATCTGTAGTGAACAATTTCACATGGTAAAAAACGGTGAAATTGTGCACTACAGAGTAGTAAGTAAGCACAATTAAGCCCGTGCATATCTTGCTTATTGGGTAATCCATCCCGGGGTTATAGCTTTGTCTGGAGGCTTTCATATATTTGAGTAATGGGGAGATTTAAGGAGGGACATCCACACAGCAAGAGGCTAGAACATAAATCTAGAAGGAGCCCTTTTGATCACTAGGCTCTATGTAAATATGTCTGGTAAAAATGATAAGAAGCAAAATGGAAAAGAAACTCTGGGAACGCATTAATGCTTTATGGAAGAGAAGGTGTTTGGGACAAAGTGCTCCAGGGAAAAGTTCTCATTTCTTCACCGAATTACATGAGCAGGCCCTGCCCACCTTTTGAGCCTCTTACTACCCTTCTCCTCACTCACTGCATACTTGCACAACCATCTCAAATGGGCCAAAAGCATTCTTGGTTTAGGGCCTTTCCATGTGTTCTTTACCCTCCCTGGAATGTTCTCCCCTCATACTTTCACATAGCTGGCTCCTTCCCATTGTCCAGGTCTCAATTCAAGCATCACCTCTCAGAGGAGCTTTCTCTGGCTCTACTGCTAAAATATACCCTCCCCACCACAGTCAATTTCTATCATGCTACCCTGTTTTATTCAAGTTGTAGCATTTATCTTGTTTATTTATTCATTTATAACCAACATTCACCTGTTTATTATCTGTTTCCTTCCCACTCGAATGTAATTTCCATAAGACCTGAGAACTTCCTTACCTGTTGTTTTTATTCACCGTATCCCCAGCACTTAGAACTCCATGCCTGTCATATAGCAGATGCTCAATAAATATTAGTTAAAGGAATGAATGACTAGTTAAATAATAAATTATTACTATAGGTAAATGAATGAAATAATGAACAAATGAATGAATTAATACAGCAAGATGGATTTAAAAATGGCTGTTCCAAAACTGACTTGCCAGTACTTCATTTGTCAGGAAGCCCAATATCTAACCCAATAACCCAATAGACAGATAAATTCCACGTAAGTAAGAAAATTAAACGTCTGGATTGTGGAGAAGAATCTCATTTGCACCTTTCAAATTATATTAAAACTAAGGATGAAATTTTTTTTTCCTCTTATCTTCAAAGAAATGGAGTTGATGGGAAAGCTGTGTTTCTAGTTTTGAACACAAGATGGCACTGTTGCTGTTTTAACTGTTAGTGAGTTTTCCCCTTAGAAGGCTCATGTTGCAGTTCTGAATGAGGCAGTTAATACCCACCAGTTTCATAGCCGCGTGTAGTATTTTTGTTACATTTGAAAAGTGTGCGGTCAGCTCTGCTAACCCTGGGAACTGTCCCTGAAGATTTTGGTAATTTGATATTGCTTGTAATTACATAAAATTATCACAAGCACCGTGGCGATCACAACGTCCCCCAGAGAACTTTATTTACACATGTCCATGTTTAGAGTGCTGAAATGTGCTTGCTGCTTTCCCCGTATATTTTTCTCGTCTTCAGCCAAGCAGACCTCAGATTGTGTCATGAATCACACTGAAGGCAAATGTGCCCAAAACAGTGTCCCGGAACTTGTTATATATGAATCTATATGGTGACTATCGCTCCTGTTCACATCTTCATCTTAACAAGAAGTCAGAAGGCTGTCTCAATCGTTCACTCTTAGTATTTACTCTGAATGTCTTAGTATTTTATTCTCTATCAAATGTTGGCTCTTATGTTCCGATGGTATTTAATTCTCCCTTGATTTCTCTATTGAGAGGAAAACTTAATTAAGATTTCTTAACAGTATCTAATGAATAGTTTATGAAACCCCGTAATCTAACGTACTGTTCCAGATAGAATTATGACCCATTTAGTGGGTAGATAGAGGAAGTCTTATTACATGTTAGTTATTCATTTCTTAACCTACTGACTAGCCTTAATCTTTGTATTTTTGAAATCGAATACGTGGCCCTACTTTTTCTGAGTAAACATCACAAAGTTGAATGCTATGTATTATGCAATGAAAGAATTTTATTTGTAGCCTTAACATTAAAAGATTTAATTATGTGTATTAGTAGGATGTGGATTTTTAATGTTGGGCATCTCAACAGAAATATGACTTACAGATCTGCCAATATCCTGCAGGATATGATCAGACTATACCTCAGAAAAAATTGTTTGAGCTCAAATTAGAATTCTTAGACTTGTGCTTACTTCTGAACCTTGCTAGAGATGCGCATGCAAGAGCCCACCTCCGAATGAAGTCTTGTCACACACTTCTCAAGTATGCCTGGCAGGAAGCTTCTCATGACTTTGATAAGGACGATAGTCTTCCAAAGAAAATGGAAGAAGAGCTCTTTGAAAAAGTGGAGCCACAGAAGAAATGCAGGTAAAATGTGGCAAGGGATTCCTGTTAGAGATTTCTGTCTGGTCTTAGATTTGCTTACTTTGGGGCAAAAATATTCCTGAGGTTTAACACTCCTGTTAGCTACTGTTTTACATCAGCATACATATTTTGTCTTTATTATGTTTTTAATTAAAATGTTTGCAAGTATTTGTGGGAAAGCCCTTTTCTTCTTAGTTTTTTTATATGCAGTGTAATTTCTTGTTCACTGGCGTGTCTTTTCTATTAAACAATAAGCTTCTCTGCCTTTGCCTCTTGAGAACTTGCACAGGGCCTATGTATTTGTTGAATGAATGCATGAGTGAACTTATGAGGAAGTATGTAGAATGCCCTGATGTCTTTGAGAAATTAATAAAATTCATTTTCTTCCTTTTTAATTTCAATTTTTTCTGGTCAGCGCCAGAAAAAATGACAGAAATCTACAGTACTTTTTATTATTCCATAATTTCTAGATATTTGCTTAATATTATAACACTGGAAATTGTGAATTCACTAATTTTGGCACTTCAACATTAGCATAAGTCCATACATACAGTAGGTATAGATGTTTATAGACTAAATGCTAACACATTGTGATGCTTAATAAGTTTAATAAGTAACTTAATACTTTAATATCTTTAAGTACCATGTTTTTACACAAATAATGCACCCTCCTCCCATGAGGCACCCTCACAAGTGCTGCCATGCCAATGCTCTTCCACATGGTGCTATAAAAAAAATTAGCATAGTGTCTTGGTTATCTATCGCTGCTATAACAGAAATATCACTAGTGGATGGCTTTAACAAAGAGAAATTTATTCTTTCACAGTCTAGTAGGCTATAAGTTCAAATTCAGGGCATCAGCTCCAGGGGAAGGCTTTCTCTTCCTGTCGGCTCTGGAGGAAGGTCCTTGTCATCAATCTTCCTCTGGTCAAACAGCTTCTCATTGCAGGGACCCCAGGTCCAAAGGACGCACTATTCTCCTGGCTATTCTTTCTTAGTGGTATGAGGTCCCCATGTCTCTTTGCTCGCTTCTCTCTTTCATATCTCAAAAGAGATTGACTGAAGACAAAATCTAATCTTGTAGATTGAGTCCTGCCTCATTAACATACCTGCTGCTAACCCCAGCTCATCAACATCGTAGAGAAAGGATTTACAACGCATAGGGAAATCACATCAGATGACAAAATGGTGGATAATCACACAATACTGGGAATCATGGCCTAGCCAAGTTGGCAGGTATTTTGGGGGGACACAGTTCAATCTATGACATTCCACCCTTTGACCCCCCAAAATTCATCTCCTTGCCACATGTGAAACACATTCACTCCATCATATCATAGCAAAAGTCTTAAATCAACTCTTCATCTGTGAAATCCAGAATACAACTTATCTGCTTCCAAAGTACGATGGTGGAACAGCCACAAGCTAGACATTTCCATTACAAATGGGAGAAATTGGAGGGGAAGAAGGCATAACAGGCACCAAGCAAGTCAGCAGAACACATTACATTAGCCCTCAAGCCTTGAAAACAATCCTCTGTTCTCTAAGACCATTCACACAATGGCCCTACCCTCCAGACTCTTGGTATTGGCCATATTTTCCAGATTCTGAGTGGAGGCCCCTGGGCCCTGGGCTTCCACACCGCCTTTCAGGCCCACTGGAAATACAACTCTGCTCCCTCGACTTTAGGTCCACATTTCTCCTAGTCCATCTGAGTGGCGACTCCACCTGTAGAAACACCAGAGGCCATGGCTCCACCCTTTGAAACCCCAGAGATTGTGGCCATACCCTTTGAGACTGAGGCAGCTCAACTTCCTGTGTTTCTTTTCTTTTCATCTTTTGCTTCCTGGTTCCTCGGCCTCTTGGCCCTTCAAACCTCACTGCCTGTGTCTGCCCTGCTGGGGCAAGTGTTCCAAAGCACTGTAGCTCCACTGATAAGTGCCTGGAGGCAGCCCACTCCACCAGGAAGCCTCCTGTGCAAAGGCACTCAGCTCTCTGGCTTCGTGGGTTGGCTCCAGTGCCATCTCACTCTGGTCTCCTGGTTCTGCCACTGCTGGTTCTCTGCCGCTGGCAGTTCTCTGCTGCTGCTGTGCTGCTGGTTCTCTGCTGGTTCTTGCTGTCTGTGCTGTCTCCAGTGATACAGCTCTCCTCATTTCCTTTTGAGTCCTCTATCCATTCACTGTTTCAAAACTGTTTCCACATTTTAGGTATCTATCAGAGCAGCATCTGACTCCTGGTACCAAATTCTGTCTTGGTTATCTAGTGCTGCTATAACAGAAATATCACTAGTGAATGGCTTTAACAAAGAGAAATCTATTCTCTCACAGCCTAGTAGGCTACATTCAAATTCAGGGCATCAGCTCCAGGGGAAGGCTTTCTCTCTCTGTTGGCTCTGGAGGAAGGTTCTTGTCATCAATCTTCCCCTGGTCGAGGAACTTCTCAACACAGGGACCCCAGGTCCAAAGGCTGTGCTATTCTCCTGGCTCTTGTTTCTTGGTAGTATGAGGTCCCCCTGTCTCTCTTTTATATCTCAAAAGATATTGGTATCAGACAAAATCTAATCTTGTAGATTGAGTCCTGCCTTATTAACACATAGCATGCTTACAAAAATACCGTTGCGGGGGAGGGCATGGCTGGCAAACAAACACAGAAGGTGTGCCTTATTTTTGTAAAAATATGGTAAAAGATTTTTTTCATTAACTTATCATTGTATTATATTAATATAATATGGATATGAATAAGAATCATTATATTCTATGAATTGTTAGGGAAGGTTGAAAAACTTGGAGAATAAATTCTATTTGCCAGCAATACTGTACGTAGATAATAGGAACAATCATAATTTGAGCAGAACTCATTTGTTTCCCTCTGTTTGATTTCATATCCCCTCATTGTAGTCTCCTAGGGCTGCCATTACAAAATGCAACAAAGTTGGTGGCTTTAAAGAACAGACATATATTGTCTCATAGTTCTGGAGGGTAAAGTCCAAATTCAGAGTTTCTGCCATGTCGATTCCTTTTGAGGACTTAGAGAAAGGGACTGTTCATTCTTCTCTCCTAGTTTCTGGTGGCTGCCAGTATTCCTTGGCATCCCTTGCCCTATAGAAGGATCTTCACATGCTGTCTTCCCCCTGTATGTGTGACTCTGTTTCTGTGCCTACCCTTCTCTTATATAAAACACCATTTAGAAGGGATTTGGATTAGGACCCACCCTACTCCAGTGTAACTTTATTAGTTTAACTGATAACATTTACGAAGAAAAATCCTAGTTCCCCAAACAAGGTCACATTTCACCATTTCAGAGGTTAGAACTTCAGGCATTTCTTTTTGGGGAACATAATTCAATCCATAACACCCCCTTCTCATTCTTCTATTCTTTTTCACATTCTTCTTTTCCTCTCTAACTAAATTACCTGTTCAACTGAATTTCTTTTCACTCTGCTGATAAATTTCTCATATGATCTCCTGGATAAACATTTATTTCAGTTACAGAATATATTCAGAATTCCATTTTTTACATCAAGTTGGAAGTGTAATGCTAATGGTATTGCTGCTGTTAGGATGATGATGCCTTACTATTACACGTTAATATGATTCACAGCGGGTCTCTCGCCAATAGAACTTACAAGCTACACTACATCAAATGCATGGGACGTTTTTCTGCCACTGATGAGGTTTTCTTTATTTCAGCCATTCACCAAGGCATAGCAAATTGCAGAAGCTTTGCCATCAACAATTTGAATACAGAGATGGGCAGATTATAAACCATGCTGCTCCTCAGCTTGTCTTGGGGGTACGAGATCCCAACCTCCGTTCAGGCACTGAAGTGGTTTTGGTAGAGAAGAAATCTGATGATAGTCATCAATGCTGGATACACAAGGAAAGCAGCAGGTAAACCCGTTATGTTTGGGGATTAATATATAAAAAACTGAGTAGGCACCTAAAATTCCTGGCATGGTCCCCACAGAGCAGGCAGGGGTATATTTGAGGGCTTCAGATTTTCTATTTAACTTGGCTGACAATTTTTTTTTTTTTGAATCTTAGCTAAGCGAGCGAAAGAGAGAATGACATCAAATGTAAATGCTCAGTAGGCTACACACAATTTATCCACGATCAGATTCAGATAAAAACTGTGTAGTCTGACCTACTGAATGTATATTTTTACCTGGCCATTGAGGTTAAGAGAAGACTGGACTCTCATCTAATTGTATTTTTATGATATGAAACACTCAAGTAAGAATTCTAAAGTCCTCAGTTTTTAAATTCTGCAGTAATTTTCGTTAACTTAATCCCCTATACACATACCTTCCTCCCACCTCGACCTTCATAAAATAACCAACAAATATGGCTTTCACCCACACGGTAAAACCAAATTCTTAATAAGTATACCAACCTAACTCAATGCCTGGCCTTTGTTTGGATCCAGATTCAAACCAGTCACTCTTAAAAGGTTATTTTTGAGATAATCAGGGTATGGATATTAGATGATATTAAAGAATTCTTGTTAATTTTGTTAGGTGGGAAAACAGTTTTATGATTTTGTTTAAACAAAAAAAAAGTCCTAATCAGTTGCATATATATGCAGTATTTACAGATAAAATTAAAAGACATCTCAGTTTTTCTTAAAATATTCTAGCAAGAACAAAAATAAAAAATATTGGGGAGAATGAATGAAAGAAGAATGGCAGAATGTTGATAGTTATTGTCCATGGTGGTTCATTATACTATTCTCTCTGTTTTTGTGCATGTGCAGATATTTCTTTAATCTAAAAAGAGAAAGAAAAAGGAAAAAAAAAGAAAAAAAGATTGGCTTGCTTCAAATTCTACTGTTAGTGTTTTATGGTGGGGCTCCAGAGGCCTCTTCATCCTTTTGAAATATTATACAAAGTGTTGTGTGTTTGTGAATCTACGCAAGAAAAAAATTTTTTTCCTGAGGAAGGGCTGTGGTTTTCATTGGCTTCTCAAAGGGTCTGCAATGCAAAAGGCTTATGAATCACTGCTTTGAGTGAGATTGCATAAGCTTCAGCAGGCGGCAGCGGCAGGCCCAGCATGGGCAAGAGAGGAAGCTCGCCTGACTGTTCACTGCCTGAGATGAGCAAAGCCGCCAGCAAGGAGCACTTGCTGGGCTTGTTCTGGAGAAGGCTGAAAAGCCAACTGTGTAACAGACCTGGTGAGTGTGTTCCTTCACTCCATCCACCCCATCTAGGCTGCCTTCACCACATGGAGCCAGGATAACAGCCTTTTGTCCCTGAAAATGGTTTCTTACACGGGATTAAAACTTATTCATTCAGCCATAAAGGGTTATTAGGGGAAGTATTAGGTGCTGGTGCCTTAGCAAAGAACCAAGCAGTCGAAAATCTCTGCCTTTACAGAACTGACATCCTAGTGCTACCCCATCTCTATGTTTCTGGGATTTGGCAATACTTCTTACTGCCTCAGCTTTCTGTATTATATAGTAGAGGTGCCAGCTTGAGCCTAAACTGAAATTTGAGCACGGCTGATGAACTGGGGTGGACATGCCCAGGGAATGAGAGAAGTGACCTGAAGGCAACAGAAAGCCAAGTGCAGTGAGTACGACCCAACAAAAGAACTTGGTCATTGGAGGAGAAGACTAGTTCTGAGCTCTGCTCACTATCTGTCACTGGTTTTGTCTTCTGGTTCTGTCTTTCATTCTAAGTTCTGTGCGGAAGGGGTCTGTAAGTAAAACAGAAAGAGAAGTTTGCCCAAAACTCTGTGAGGCATTGGGCCATGAGCAGCACTGCTTTGGAATGTCTAACCAAGTATAGCACAAAAGAGGAGAGAGACAGTCTTTTCCAATCTCCTTCCACTTCCCAGAACACTCTGCAATTTTATCATCTTGAAACCCCCTCATGTCCAGCCACAGCACGGGAGAGGGACAGTTGGTGGGAGGAGATGGCATTAATTCACGCTTCATCAGAAATTTGAGTTCAGAGAGAAGACGCGGAGCAGCAGAGGTAGCTTGTGGGACAGAATTTGCTCATGATCACATGAGTCACCAGAAACACTTGGGCAAGGGAGGTTTTGCAGAAGTCCCTATGATTAAGTGCAGGCAAGATTCAGAGTAATTTACGTCCCATGGCAGAGGCGTATCTGCACAGTAACAATGAGTCTGAGTTTTGTCCGCATTTTCCCTTGGCATTTCGCTTTGTGCTCTTTCATGTAATTGGATATTGAAACCTGTTTGTTCTGATGGGCTGGTGAGACCTAGAGAAACTTGGGTTACACTATGTATCAAAAACCTGTAGAAAATTCAGTTTATATTAACCAGAGTCTTTCTTCCTTTTTATTTTGCCCTGGCAGCAAGTTGATATTTGGGGAGGAAACTGCTCATCCAGAATTTGTATAAATAGAGTGTAGACGGAGTAGATGTCTACCAACATTAAGGAGGTATCACTGTGGTTGGAATTGACTCAGTGGCAACAGGTTTGGTTTTTTGGTTTAGTAGTGAAGGAACTACAAGTCTGTTTAAAAGTAAAAACAAGAGTTTTATTATGGCAAAAAAGCATTTTGCAAAATGGAAAACACAATGTCAGAATAATCTGCTTAAAAAGCTTCAGGGGACTGCAATGATACATATGCTTATGAAGAAAAACACACACACACACACAAACAGAAACGTACAGCTAAAACATTTCTGATTGGTTAACATTTACAAAGTTGCAGGTGGCAGAGTCTTGACTGATACCTTTGGAGGACCTGGCCTCCTTTGCCAGGATGGCTCCAGGTGACAGGATTTTGGCTGACCACTACATGTTTCCTGGCATGTAGACATGTGCAGTTTCTGCTAAACTGACTGACTTTAGTATTATGGTGGTAAGTTCTGTTGAAATATAAAAGTAAAGAGCCTGTTGAAGGAATAGGAGTGAAAATGCTAAATATCAGCTTATTCTAATCATAAGCTGGATTAATTAGAACAAGGGTTTGGAAAATTACAAGTATGGTCAAGGGTGGTTAGAATAAGGTCATGGAAGAGTACAGGGCTTTATAAAGACCCAGGCACAGGTTAGAAAAACATTTTTGAGAGGGAGTGAAGGGGGAATTTTCTGAGAATTGGCCGACACCAAAGTCACATGTTTAACACATTGTCTAAAACCTGTACACAATTGGATAATCTGTGCTTAACATCAGCTTTTACTAACCACAAACTCATCTACAAGTGTAGCAGGGTGGGCAAAACTGCATTTTTCTGTAGAATCTGCCCGTATCTAGGTCAGAGGTACAGTGGAAAATTTTATAGAAGTGACAGGCTACATTGTGTGACAGAATCTGTATTTAAAAATCCAAAATAGAGTCTCTTAGGACAAGAAGGGATTTGGTTCAGACCCCAGTCAGAAGTCCCAGTCATGTCAAGAGCTTTAGTTTCGGAATGCTCTTCCACAGAGGGTACCAAGTGGCATGATCCAGTCATGATTTAATACTCAGTGACTATCACTGTGTTGAAAGTTTTCTACCACTAGCAATTAATTCAGTCCTTGAGATCTTGAATTATCTTTTCAGTTTGGTCTTCTATTTAAAACAGAAAGTAACTAGGAATTCTAATATCCTAAGCAATTATCAGCAAAACCTCTTAACAGAAATTATGTTTGTGAGAATAAGGCGTTACTGGGAGAGCACATAGTCCAGGCTAGAAGTTCAAGCAATGAGAGAGAAGGTACTGAAAAGGTAGGAGGAGAGTGCCAAAAATGTACTCACTAGGTTCCAGCCTCACAAAAGGATGGTCCAGGTCAACTTTTGAGATAGTCTGTCACCTTCTTCCCTTTTCACCTGTCATACAACCTGAATTAATCATTTGATCTGTAATGGGAAGTATGAGAAAGTCCTCAGGTGTAATGAAAAAAAAAAATTCCCTCAACAGGACTCAAATTCATAAAGGGAAAAATATAGCGCCATGGAATTTGGAGCTAAAAGAGCTCTTTAAAATCTTCTAGTCATAGTCACTTGATTACAGTGCTATGTAAACTGAGGATTGAAGAGGTGCACTGAGGCTTGTATGCTCTCAAACTGTGGGTTAGTGAAAGAGACAGTGTGTCATGCTGGTATTGCTGGAAAACAGAGTAAATTCCCACTCTGCTGCTTGGCACATAGGGGGCATTGCATAACAGTCATAAGCTTGGGCTTTGTGCAGAATGCATGCGCTCTTCCGCCATGGGCAAGTACTAGTTGACCGTACTGTTTAAAAAGGAAAAGGAAAAACAACAGTATAGTGGCTGAGCCTGGCAATGAAGCATGGAAGAAGTCACTATGTCTATTCTAGGCAGGAAAAGCACAGAGCTAGCTAGGTGGCTAGTCTTGGCACCTCAGTAGGTCATTGCAGGAAATATGCAGACAATCATTCATTCATTTGAATAATATTATTGAGTGCCAATAAAAAGACAAGATGTAAACTAAGCAACATGCTTGGACTGCAGAGATTAAACAATACACAGGGCCAGCTCTTGTGCAATACTGTCCTGGTAAGCGCAAAAAGTGTGTTTCATGAAATCGAATACCTCTTCTGGATTTAAAATAATACCTCGTTAACTAGCCACAGAAGGAAGAAATATGTTATAAGATTAATAGTGATTATCTTGTAGAATTGTGAGTGATCTTATAACTCTGTTTCATTTTTTTACTATATTTACCTGTACTTTCTAAATTCTTTACAATGTGCTTATATTGTTTTGTGTTCAAAATATGTAAATTCAATACCTTGAATTTTTTAAGTTTTGAAAGGAAAAATATACAGTGAAACCTGTAAGAGCTGGAACTTGACAGAATTGCCTTGTTTTTTCGGGTCTCACAAGTTTTCCACTTTTGACAGGGTGCAGTCTTACTACTTGTCTGTTGCTCTCTTTTAGTGGAAAATATTTGAGTTTTCCTTCTCTGACAGATTTCTTCCTTACACAGGTTCCAGTTTTTGAAGGTTTTACTGTATTACTTTTACAGCAATCCCCCACCCTCGCTTTCTCCCCCCTCCACTCTCACATCATTAAACTGTCAGAAGGAGTGAGTTATATTTTCCACAGCAGGAATGCCACTGCTGTTCTGTAATGCAAATATGTTGGCAGAAGAACTGGCTTTTCTACACAGACAACAGTGTTGAATGTTTGGTTTATTTTTGTTTTTAAGTGATGCAAGCAAAAGAATTTGAGGGTTTCAGATAAATAATTTTCACTATGTTTTTCAGTCAAGGGGGCTTTATATTAGCTCTAATACAAGGTCATATAAAAGTATTCAACATACATCTTGAACTTTTAAGGAAAACGTCTTTAGAATAAAAGAATTTGTGGTAAAGCTACAAAAAAATCACAATCACTAGTAATAGTAGCTGATGCTAAGTGCTATGTGCATGACAATATTCTATGTGTTTTATATGCATTAACTTATTTAAACCTCGCAACAGTCCTGTAAGGTGTGCACCATTACCCCATTTTACAGATAAGGAAACTGAGGCACAGAGTCATTAAGTAAAGCCACGAGAGGTGGATTCAATATTCAAAACCAGGCAGTGTGGCTTCATAATCCATGCTCTTAGTAACTTTGCCACATGGTCTCTCATAATAACGAAAATGGTGAGGAGGGTGTATTAGTCTGGGTAAAATCAGGAGATAGAAACTACACAGTGATTTAAATAGGGGGAGTTTAATATAGAGAATTCTTAAACTATCATAAAGGAGTAACTGTCAAATATAAGAGAACTCTATACAGTACCCGAGGGCTGAAATAGAGTACCCAAGGAAGGAGAAATGTGGAATTGGGACCCCTTCCCCAAGGCTGGAGTTTAGACCTCATTGGAAAAGGTGTGATTGCAACTCACTGGATGGCAGAGAAATTTGCCAGTTTTCCCAGGCCAGAGCTGGTCTGTGGTCACTGGGCAAGTAGGAGCAACCCTCTGAAATGAATACAGGGGTGCAGCTGGTGGCCAGGCCACGGGAGTGCAAAAGGAATGGGGCCCTGATGCGGCCAGAGGTCTGGAGCACGTGGTGTCCACATCAAGAGGGCCATGCCAGGCTAGGGCTACAAGGGTGCCAAACAACTATGCACTCTGGGCACCTGGCTGGGGCAGAGTATCACTGGACATCTTCCTTTCCAACTGCTGACCTGCTATGAAACAGCTGGAAACAGCAGGAGAGCCCCTTCCTCCTGCAGTGTTCTTGCAGCACTCTCTACTGAGAAAGCTTAACATTGTGCTTACTGTAGAGGAGAAATGCTTAAAGGATTCTCATCCATTATCACAGTCCAGGTACTGGAGGGTGCATTTGGAACCAAGAGGTGACACATTGGTAAGTGGCACAGACGGTTATCTAATCTGGTCATGCTACTTTGTAATGTGACTAATCCTGTGTTTCCAAGGACCTTTCACCTGGTGAGTAACCCAGACCTTGTGCTGGCAGTGTCTATGACCAAGGCTGGAAATGAAGTTGATGGCTATCCAGTTATTGTTCAGGTAAGATATGTATAGGCTAAAGAGTAATCATGACTCCTTGTTTAATTAAATTTAAGTAAAACTCTATGCTTTCTTGTTGTGTAGAGAGACAATGGCTATCATAGAATCCTATCTTGAGTATCATTGCTAAAACATTTATATTAGTCTGCTTGGATTTCAAATTGAGCATGTTCATGTAGCTCTTAATTTAGTTTAATCCAACAGATGGTGATTGTGGGCTTGCTGCAGGCCAGGCACTATGCTGGTTACTGAAATCCAGTAGTGACCATGACAAACTGTCCCACAGCATTCACAGAGCTAACAGTCTCAGTGGTGGGTGCAGTCAGATGAATGGCTGTTAGATTCATGAGCTTTAAGTCTGATGATAAGGGGCACATGCAATTCCCCCGACTTGGTGACCAGAGGGAGGAGATATGGTCAGGGAAGCCTTCCTGGAAGATGCGAGCTTATCAATGTTAATTCTTCTAAAAGTTTCATTTCAAAGACACTTTTGCAAATGCTTATAGCATCAAAACAATTTTTGAAGACTTCAGAGAATTCTGACTTTGATTTGAGTTTTGTGCAAAGACGTAAGGAGTTCTTTTTTCATGTTTTCCTGTCATCTTTAATTATTTATAACCAGAAACATTCCTATAAGGATATATGTTTCTCCTTGTGAAGAGGAGAGAAAGTTTAGGGAAGTCCCTGGTCTGCACTTACTTTCTGTATCCTCCACAGTATTTACCATCTTTTTGTTGAACAGAATACATCACCTCCAGATAACATTGGTTTTATTCCATGTTTTTAATAGCAATGAGGCAACTTGTTTTGTAGGTCTTGAATCCAAAATTAGAATATAAGAATCTAGACAAATATCAAAGCTTAATTAAGTCTTTCATCCTGATGATAAATATGGTCTCTTCTAGCAGCCATAGTATATATAACATTACATTCTTCTCTGTCAGGTGCCTCTTCAGCACAGACTACACTGAGATAAAAATCTCATCTGGATTCAAATTTAGTACCTTAACCAGTTTCAGAAAATTATAGATACGAATATCTTCCTCTAAGATTCCCACTTTATAAGAAATGAGTTTGATCTAAGGCAATTTATATGACCTTTCAAGGTTTATTTTTCCTCTGCTGGTGTTTCATTTTTATTTCTTGAAGCAATCAGCTTATGAGAAAATACTAAAGCCGTGTAAAATAATAAAAATGAGGCATGTGATGTTAATGCTAGTAGACCACTTCTTGTTCCTTGAAAACACAGTCTTTGATTTTCCAGACCTTTGAGAGAAACTCTATTGTATGACCCATTAAATCAGTTCTTAGGACTTATTTATTTCCTTCTTTATTATTAATCTCTTGCTTGGTAAAGTAGGTGTTATTAATTATAAAGTTCCTTGAAGTGTCATGATATGTTTAGTTGAAACTAATTTACTGGTTCAAATTCTGTTAAATTGAAGCTATTCATTTCTTTGGTTATACTTGAGCCCAGTTTTATAATTAGAATAAATATGCCATTTCTATTACATATCAAACTGAAGTGTATTCACATATTGAAAAAAGCAAAAACAAAAAGCCAACCTCCTTGATAGTCAATGAAAAATAAATTAAAATATCAAGGTACTATTTTTTCATATATTGATTTAATGGTGTTTTGAGAGGTATTGCCCATTTTTGGCAAGAGTGTGAGGAAAAATGATTAGTTTTATATACTGTTGGTGGAAGTCTAAACTAGAATAACCTTTCTAGAAAGCATTTTGATATGATATATTATAATCTTTAAAAATTATCATATTCTTTTATCAGTGTTTCCATTTGTAGGAATTTGTCCTAAAGAAATCATCATGGATATACACAAAGATTTAGTTGCAGGGTTGTTCAACAGTATTTTGCTCATAATGGGGAAAATTTGAGAAAAACCTACATGTGTAACTGTTGGAGCCTTGGTGGTGCAGAGGTTAAGAGCTCGGCTGCTAACCAAAAGGTCAGCAGTTGGAATCCACCAGCTGCTCCTTGAAAGCCCTATAGGGCAGTTCTACTATGTCCTATAGGGTCACTATGAGTTGGAATCGACTTGATGGCAACAGGTTTTTTTTTTTGTTGTTATTGGGAATTAACCCTATGGAGGAATTAATAAAATAAAATATCCCTAAAATGAAATAGTATATATCATTAAAAGACATGTCAGGAAAAAGCTCATGGCATATTGTTAAGAAAAAAAATGCAGTTACCAAAGTGTAAGTAATTTGTGCTTCTGTTTTTGTAAATCAAAGAAAGTATGTGTATAAAGATTGTTTATATAATCACCAAAATATCAGCAGTAGTTATCATTGGATAGTGGAATTATGAGTGAAATTTAGAAAGTATCTGTACTTCCTAAATTTATATAATGAAAGATAGTACTGCTATAACCATCTCATAAACTCTCCTGTCTATTTGACTCCATATTTTACCCATTTTTTTTTTCAGAAATATAAGCCATATAACAATGGGACTGCCAATCAAAAGTGGCATTATATGGAAAATATGAAAGCTTTTATGGCTTTTCATAGCACTGCACTGGATAAGGAAATCACAGCAGCAAATTATGCTGGTATTTGCACATCCTCTGTGATTAAAGAAGAAAGCATTGACCAACCAGTAAGTGGGTCCTTCCTCCTAAAGATACAAGAAAAATGGAGTAAAATAGGATGATTAGTAAAGCCAAAACCTTTTTTTTCCTAGAAAACCTCATGTTAAAATAAGTTGAACACTAATCACTTAGAATGTGAATCTGGTTAGGAAAAAATGAAAGAAAATGGACGTTACTGCTCTGCTCATGTTTTTTCTGTGGCTCTCCATCACTAGCACAACCTTTGGCTCAACAGTTCACGAGAACACGCGTGAGGGAGTATGTTCACACATACTACACTCCCACAAGTGTGCCTGCCACACTAGATGTCACTCCACTCCAGAAATTGTATTAAAGTGCAAATGATTGTAAGTGACTTTATATTACATTATACCAAGTATATGGGTAAGCATGAATATAATCCAATTTCTAAAGGAAATAATTTCTCAACTTTGGTCCTTTAATTCTTACTAGTAAAGAATTACTTGCCTCAGACTTCATAGATACGATATGACTCTGGGACAGTGGGTCGAGCCATCTTGCTATTGTTGATGGCCACTGGCCTACAGAAAATTGATATTTCATAATGCACCCTACAAGACCTTCCTTACTCTACGCTTCAGATGTCTCTAAATTGCTGCCTCTTTTCCTTCGCCTGTCAATCCCTAGCTCTTCTGAATAATTTGCAGTTGTCCAAATGTGCCATACCATTTTGTACTTCTCTGCCTTTGACTGTGCCACCTCCCCTTCCATCTTTTTCTCTTTTGTCTGTGAGCTCATGTCAGTTAGTAAAGAAGCTATCAAAGACTACTAAGGTCATCTCACAAAGATTCAGGAGCCAACTTCAAAAGGCTCCCACTGTACAAAGCCAGAACAAGTTAGGCATCAACAAGACAAATGAATGCAGTGGATTGAATACATAAACCCATTGCCGTCGAGATGATTCTGACTCATAGCGACCCTAAAGGACAGCGTAGAACTGCCCCATAGGGTTTCCAAGGAGCAGCTGGTGGATTCAAGCTACTGACCTTTTGGTTAGCAGCTGTAGCTCTTAACCACCGCACCACCCGGGCTCCATTGAATATATAAGGTATGTTTAACTTCATATTTTCATACTGATATTAAACAACAACAACTCATCAGTCACAACTGGACGATGTTAAAGAACCAATTAGTTACTTTGAAAACTGGAATATAAAGAATCAGGCATTTATTCTTCCTTTCCTTTATGAACTGTACCTCAGGATAACAAAACAGTTGGTGAGGGTAAGTTTCACTTCATAGAAATATCTCAGGTAATTAATGAATATGGTATAAAATAATCATAATATCACTGTTTTGCAACTTTTAATAAATTAGTAGATCTAAGCAATGAGCAGAGTCCCTGGGTGGCACAAACAGTTAGGCGCTCGACTGCTAGTCGAAAGTTTGGCTGTTTGAACCTACCAGAGGCACCTCGGAAGACATGCCTGGAGATCTGCTTTTGAAAGGTCACGACCTTGAAAACCCTGTGGAGCAGTGCTTCTCGGCACACGTGTGCCCGCTATGAATTGGAATCAGCTCTCCAGTAACTAGCATCAATAACAACAGGCAATGAGCATCAGTAGTTACTAGCATTACAAAAAGAAACACAGCAGATATTATGTGTCCCCTGATGGAAGCAACAATACCACTTATGAAATGTTCCTGCCAAAAAAAAAAAAAAAGAAGACCTAAGCAGAATTTAATCAAGTCTCTCGTTCTATCTACTAATTCACCGCAAATACAGGAGGCAGAAGAACAAGCAAAAAGACACAATGAGGTAGTCAGCAAAATCCTAACTGAGAGAAAGGCTACAACAAATAAATTTCCAGAGAAGAAAAGAGAAAGAGATACAGGGGGAACTGGAGATTAAAAGAAAGAGACATATAAACCAATTATAATGTATGGAGCTTATTTCAATTCTGTTTTGCAGAGAGAGTGACAGAGAGGATTGGAGAAATTTGAATACTGACTCAATAATTAAATTAAGGTGTTATCATTACTAATTTTCTGGTATGATACTGTAGCTATGGTAAAAAGAGTCCTTATCCTTTAGAAATACATACTGAAATATTTAAGAATGAAGTGATATAATGCCTGGGATTTGCTTCAAGATAATCCAGGGTGAAGAAGGAAGTTGGTAGGGATACAGAAGAAACAAGACTGGTAATTGTTGATAATTGTTGAAGGTGGGTGAAGGGTACATGTGGGTTCATCATAGTTTTGTATGAGATTAACATTTTCCAGTGATTATATAATTTGTGCTTTTATTGAAAGAGATAGGGAAGGAGGATTATAGGACTGGTGGGAAAGGAAAGGAGAGAGAAATTATAGTTAGATCATAGAATCTAAGCCGAGTTTAGAGGGAGGTGACATAAAGGTATGATAAGCAGTGAAACAGTGGCCCCTGGGTTGGAGGTCTCAGTGGACACTGTGCTGTTTTGCTCAAGAAAAGTTTAACACGTTAAGCGCCAGAAATTTTTTTTTTGTATTCTTATTTTTTATTTTTTTAAATTTTTTATATTTTATTGTACTTCAGGTGAAGGCTTACA